TTGCCATACTGACATAAATGAACATTTGCATGATATTCTAATTTTTCGAGTTTCACCTGTAAATCATTTAATGAACAAGCTAATCCTTGAATGAGTTGGAACAGGTCTTTGAATCATGGCCATAAAATAATTGTATAGCTTTGTAGTACTTACTTTGTAACTAGGTAGTCTTTTTTTTTTTCAGGACAGGAAAGGTGAAGCAGAATCCTGCCCTATTTGCTAGCTGCAGCTATAGATTATCTAGGAAAATTATAACTCTTTTACTGTAAAATTAAAGTAAGTTTCCACTGGGAATGTATACTACAATGTTTGAATCAGGTTTATTGCTATTATAGACTATGCTGGTGTTTCCTAACCTTTCACCAGAGATATTGCTTCACCAAATATTTTGGTCTTTCAGATTGTCATAGAGGAAGAGAACAAATTTTTGAAATTGCTTGAGCTACTAGGACATTATCAGGAAAAAGGAGCTGTCATTATATTTGTGGATAAACAAGAACATGCTGATGGGTTGCTGAAAGACTTGATGAGAGCCTCTTACCCCTGTCTTTCGCTTCATGGAGGTAGTGGGCATTCCTTGTCTTTTAATTATTTGACAAAATAAAAGAACGTTGAGTCAACATCCTTTGCATGTGTTTTCTTCTGCAGGTATTGATCAATATGACAGAGACAGCATAATCAATGATTTTAAGAGTGGAGTATGCAAACTGCTTGTGGCTACATCAGTAGCAGCCCGAGGTCTTGATGTAAAACATCTTATGCTTGTAATCAACTACAGTTGTCCTAATCATTATGAGGATTATGTGCACAGGGCAGGCAGAACTGGGCGTGCAGGCAATAAAGTATGTAAATATTTTTTTTGCACTGATGACTTAAAGATAAGGTCTGATTAGGATGGGTTATTGCTTTGTTGGAAATGCTTATGGAATGCTATACATGGATTGATTTGCAAATTATTATTACTATAAATCTTTTATGTTAAGAGTAAAGTAATTTAAATCATTGGTTTACATCAGGTTTCCCATTGTGAAATATATACATTTTCTGAGCAACCATTTGCTCTAAAATTATTTTTCTTATAATAAAAATATGCTGATTTCCAACTAAGCAGAACCGTGGTGGACAATCTGAAAACCTCAGGCCATGTGTGATCCTTGGTTTAATGTTCTTCAGACCTTGGCCTAATTTCATTGACTCAGTGATTTGTTCCTTTCATTTTCAACTAAATAGCAATTTTGTGATTTAAGCCAAATTAACAACTGTTGACCATGTGCCTGATAGGCCTGTACTGTAAAATTAGTTCTGATAGTTTGTGTATAGATAAGATATGTGCATGTGCAAAGGTCCTGAGCAAGATCACTTTAAGGATTCAGTTCTGTGAAACCTTGTTTGGAAATGTCCCATTGAACCAAGGGGATCTTAATTCCTGAGTAAGCAACTGTAGGAGGAGAAAATGTATGAAGATTATAATTTTTCCTCATTCCACCTTTAGGCAATTTTCCATAGATAGGAATCACTCTTTCATTTACAGGATACACATTCTGGATCCTGCTCTGTATACTTGCATTGATTTCAGGTTTCTTTTTAAATCAAGTTAAAAAAAAGAAAAATAAGATTAGAAATGTATGAAATCCTAATATTTAAAACTAAAAATACTTAGTTTATCATTTCTGGAATGTTGCCTAATATTTTAGAAACCAATGGCTTGTTTTCATTGATTTGTATCAGCATCAGGAATTTGCCACAATATTAAGACTCAAGCCTTTATGCTATGATTGCCTCTTTTTTCTTACCTTATTTGTATGGTATATATTTAATTCTTTTGAAACATGAATTAAATTCTGCACAGCTTTCACAGCTCTCTTAAAATTGAATTGATCTCATTTTCTGGCTATGTAAAAATATGAAAATATAATTGTTATTAAATTGACCAGTTATCTGTGGCAAAGTGCTCCATAAGACATATGTTGTTGAAGGAAATCAGACTTTGCAAAACTTCAGAAAAAGAAAAATAATTTGAAGTCAATGAACTTTCAGTTACATTAGGTTTATAATTAATACTTTATTACAGGGTTATGCATATACGTTCATAACTGAAGATCAAGCACGGTATGCTGGTGATATAATTAAAGCTTTGGAGTTGTCAGGTACTACAGTTCCTCCTGAGTTAGAAAAACTTTGGAATGACTTCAAAGATCAGCAGAAAGCTGTAAGTAACCCATCTTATAATTGTTGGTTTCAGATTACATACTTCTGATTATGTTTATGTGTGCAGAGAACAGTTCTTAAACAGAACAGTTGGGTGTTTTGGGGGCACAGTTTGTACCTCTTCAAATTAATTGGAGGAACCCTTTTGTAAGCAGAAAGTGTCTTCTGATCATGGATGGGCTGTTCTGTACATTGCGTTGGAATGGATTATGCTAAAACTGTGGGTGGGTGGTTTTTGTTTGTTTGTTTTTAATTTTAGGAAGTTTTCTTCATGTGGGAGCACCCAAAAACGGTAGCTCCACTCATAACTTGAACTGGTCCATTGTACCAATTCATTCTTCCATATGTATAGTTTAGACTTCAGTTTGTAAACCATAAATCATTGTACATCATGAACTACATTTAGTATTACCAGCTGGCTTCTCCTCACTCTTCCCTATGGTCTCTCTATGTTCTCCTGACCTCTTGAGAAGGTTCACTAGTCCTTCAGGACAGATTTGAGGAGTACATGGGAAGAATAATGGAGTGGATGAATTTGTTCAACTAGTATATGCTATTCTTTCAGCAGATGACCACCATTAGATACAGCCCAGTGATGGTTAAATTTTTGAACTTAATTTATCTCTTAAAATTCCAGTTTTAAATGTGCTATCATTTTTTTAGGTTTGGGGTGAATACTGAATTATCACATTTCTATATCTGTTTAATAATTGGTTTTCAGGAGATTAATACTGAAGTATTGATCAGGGTTTTTTTTTAGATATTTCACCCCATGTCCCAATTGCTGGAAGGTTGTTGGGAATGTCACACAGGCACTTGATCCAGACCACACACAACAAGCAGCTATGGTGAACCAATCAAATTCCCATCAACCAATTAATCAATAGCTTCCAGGAAACCTCCAATCACCAACCAACCCCCTGAGTTCATATCTTACACAGTCTAAAAATACTGTAAGGTAACCCTTGCTTCTGAGGAAGATTCTGTAGGATGCAGTGTAAAATATTGGCAGAAAACCTGATCAGTACTTCAGTATTGATCTCCTGAAGCCCAAAGAACCTGACTGCTAAGTGTATATAGCCTACCTGGGCTATCTCTCATCCAAGATATCACATTTCTCCAAAATAGCACATTAAAATATATTACATGGTAAATTTTAAAACCTTTGGCAATAAACTTTTAGAACATTTTTATATATTGGGACTGATTTTTGAATATGCATTTTTAGGAGGGGAAAACAATAAAAAAGAGTAGTGGCTTCTCTGGTAAAGGATTCAAGTTTGATGAAACAGAAGAAGCTTTGGCTAATGAGCGGAAGAAGTTACAGAAAGCTGCACTTGGCTTGCAGGATTCAGATGATGAAGATACAGCAGTTGATGTAAGTATTTAAAATTTCTTTTAATTAGGCATTTCATATATAAAATATGCTGACACTTTTGTTTTCCTGTCATCTGGCTGATTTTATGGAAATTTCTTATATTGGAGTGCATTTGTGAGCCCAATTTCTTTTTAATTTACACTCAAATATTATTCTGGCATTCATCTTTATCTGTCTATCATTTTCACAATTATGAAATACCTAACGTCATAAAAATCAAGCATAATTTTTTTCTACTTTTCTACTTTGGATTTTTTTTTTACAGTTTTTATTTTTGATTATTTTTCAGGATAGTGCTTGAAAAAGAAACCAGTCACTTAGATATCTAAATCATTAGCATGCTGCTTCTTATCATTGGTTATGTATTACCTTAAACACAAATTTACTTTGAGTTTTTTTTTTTATTAGATTGATGAGCAGATTGAAAGCATGTTCAATTCAAAGAAAAGAGTGAAGGACATGGCATCATCTGGTGGTACATCTAATGTTCCTGCACCAACAGCAGGAAATGCAGAAAAATTAGAAATTGCTAAGAGATTGGCATTGAGAATCAATGCACAGAAGAATCTTGGAGCCGAGGCACAAGTATTGGTCTCTTTTCAGTTTAAGGTCACCCTCTTCTACAAAATAATTTTTTGTAGTCTTATGTTGAATATTTTATGTTTTGCTAAGTGTATATAGTACAATCTTCACTATCTGGCCCACCCAACAGAAATAAACATTAGAAGGAAAGAGGGATGAAGCACATTTATTTATTTCATTTTTTTTAAATTGCAGTTGAATTAGTAACACAGTTTAATTTGAATTCAGAATTGAGACCATTATAAATTATAATAATGTAAATTATAAATTCCTCCTAACTGTGTACATGATACAAGATGTTATCAGACATAATTCAAAATATTTTGAATAACTTCTATGTGGCAAAAGTATTTGTTATAATAGCAAAATACTATCTGAGTATTTGGGATGGTAGCAGTATAGAAGCTAGAGTACATTAGGCCTAGATAGTATTTAAGGAACCTGCACATGGGAGGTCCAGATAACTGAAATTTTACTCTGTATATATTGGCAATATTTGAAGTGCTATTGATGTGATTGTTGATGCAGAAATTCAAAATATGGTTGTGTCAGTAACAGAAGAAATGTATCTAGATATTTTAATATATATTTTAGTGCTTTCCAAAGACATAAAGGTCTAATAAACACAATTTGATTGGCATTTTTTGAAAGAGAAAGTGTTCTGATATAAAAAATGTTATTTCTGCATGAACATTTTTTGTAGATGGTTGTTTGTATGCTTAAGAACAACCATTGATCAATACGTATATAAGGATTTAGATTTGCAATTATATATATTATAAATCAGATACATTTGTTTTGAAAAGTACTTGAAGCTATACTAGGTTTTTTTTTTCTTAATTGGAGGGGTCATTTGCTTTTGAACCAAGCCCATGCTGTGCAAACATGTCCATGATACCTCCAAGATCAGCAGCCCTCTCCCTGCCTATTGCATAATCTATTTGTGGTCTTCTCATAAGTAGCTTTTGGCTTGAACCCACAGGGTTTTTCTTACATTGTGAATTGGTCTGGAAAAGTGCATATATCTGTATTTATATCTGTGCCAAAGTAATTAAGAGCTTGGCACTGATTTTTCTATGTTTTCAACATTAAATGAAAAATGTTATAAGTAGAGATCCTTTTAAAAAGCTAAACTTGATAAGATGGCACAGTTGTACATATTTATGCATGTGTCTCTCACTTTTGCATCACAAATGTAATGGATATAAAAAGGAGGATATGAGAGATCAACTTTCCCCTGTCTTGTCTTGCTCTATGCTGCCCAGTTTCCCTACCTTGTCAGCTAAGGTTGTCAGTTCCCTCTGAAAGCAATCCTGGAAATATGTTCCTGTCCATAAGTGTGTTCATCAAATACTTGCAGATATCAATATACATAAGAATGTATCTGTACACTTTGGCTAGATGTCATACTCCCCTCCCCAAATGATGGGGGTAGGACAAAAAGTTAAGTAATTAAATTCATGGTTACTGTGAAATATCCTGTAAAGTAACAGACCCTATTTATGTAATTAATTGATACCCCAATTAATTAATACATACTTTTACACAAGTAAAAGATAAACATGAAAAAATACAGAAAATGAGATTAAGAAAGAAAAGATAGTGTAGAAAAGAAAAAAGAAAAAAATATTTTAAAAAGCAACTTTTTGACAAATTTAGAAATCATTAATTCATTTCTGTCCATTTTCAGTAAAAAGTCCATAAAGGGTTTCTGATGGTTTGTAAAAGTACTTATTATCTTGTCCCTGATCAAACAAGTCAATTTTATATTCTTTTCGCTTATGCAGTATTCTGGTATTATTAATCCTTAGTTTAGTGTTAAGATGTTGTCGAAGAACCTGGTTTCCTGTCTTTTTCCTGACAAGGTGCACAAGTATATTTCTTAGTACGTTCCTTAACTTTTTATTTCTTGTGTTAATTCTGTACACCTTGTCCATTTGTATTGCAGATTCTTCCAATTTTCTATTCATCTTTTCCATATTTGCAAATCTTTCTTTCATTCTTCCTTCAAATGAAATCAGATCTCTCTTAACAGATTCAATCAATGATACTGCCACTGCCACTATAGTATTCTTTTCCAAATTTTCCCACATCCTTTTTACAGTCTCTGGAATAATCCCTATTTGCTCTGTTCACGGTCCTGTCCTCCCTTCTTTCGTTGCTTTTCTAATATTAGTCATTTCTTTCCTTAAGTTTGTAATCCAAAAAGGTAAAACACCAAAAATAAGAGCCTTTTTTTTCTTACCTTTTTAGACACATCCAGCTCTCCGTGATTCTATAGTCACATGGTCTTTCACAAAGTCCAAAGTAGTTTAAAATAAACAATGTTCCAAATATAACTAGTCATTTTAAATTTTCGTAATTCCTAATAAGCTTTTTGCTTTCTGTTAATTTTAAATCCTTATTATTTCTTTACATTTTACTTTGATCTTTCCCAGGTCAAAGGGACACTCACCGGGTAGTCTAGTTGCTCTGCTGCTTAGAAGATCTCTATAGCTGGCAAAATAATTATATCCTGAATGTGTGCTAGAAAGTGGGGTTTGGGTCAAGCCCAGCATCCTTAAGCCTTGCTCCACCTGATGCTGAGAGCTTGATGTTTCTTCCTCGGCTCCTGGCGCTTTACTGACAGTTTGCCTGCAGATTCCCTAGATGCTTCAGGTTTCCTCATAAGGAGTGGCCGTCTGGACTGCACATGGGCAATCTCTTGGCTTCTCCTTGTCCGGAGAAGCTTTGCTGGTTTGGGCTCGCTGCCTAGTCATCAGTCTTCACCTTGGTGTCATCTCTGCTCATCAAAGATGCAACAGCTTACCATTTTCCCCACCTGGAAGTCCCAGTTAATTGATACATATAGACATGCATACCATTCTTACACAGGCAACTTTCTCATGCGTGTACGCATATGGATGCACTTATACAAACCCATAAGATACACTTATAGAAGTCTAATCTTATGCATGCTTACCTATTGTTGCTTTCAAATGAGTAAGAGAGCCACTGTGGCCTAATGGTTATAATGTGGGACCAGTATTGGGGAGGTTTAGTTTAAGTCCATCCTCAGCCATGGAAGCTGAATAAGTGAATTTCAGCCAAATCTATCTCATAGAGTTACTGTTGTAGGAGAAAAGTGGAAGAGAGTGTGCTCTGTACATGCCATGGGTTCCTGAAGGAAATGCAGGATATAAAGTTTGTGTGTGTGTGTTTAAAAACTTGTCTGTATTTGTGTATGTACACGCACACTGCTGCTATGTTGGAGATTAATCTATTTAGCCCTGTTTTCTATATGTGGCTAGGGTGGAAGTTAAGGAAGAGATCTTTGGAGTCTTGAGCTGTTTTTTTCTTTTTGTTTGTGAAAAGAAAATGGGTGGATAAAAGTCTTTGTGCTAAGCTCTAAGCACAGGGCCCTCTCTCTGCTTCCTTTTTTATTATGGGGTAAGTTGTCATGTAAGTAAATCATATTAAGTTCAATGGATCTTAATTCCTGGTAAGTATACTTAGGATACCATTCAGTTAAGTGCCCTCATTCTTCTCTTGTCCCCTTCCATATACCGTATTTAGCCCAAGGGACTCCAAGAGACCATGCAAATTCAGTCCAGCTATGTTTATTTGCTACAACCTCTAGCAAGAATCTTCCCAGACAAAAACCCCAGTTCCCAAAGTCCTCCAGCCACAACAGTATGAATTCCTCAGGGAGGTGTCAGTCTCATTCTTTTGTTCCTCCCACGCGGTTCGAGTGAGCTAAGAAAATGCTTATCTCCCTAATCTTGGCCTTCACAATTCCATTCCATCACATTATCGGCATATAACACGCACCTTTTCCCTTAAAATTTGGGGCTGAAATCCTAGCTGCATGTTATACGCCGATACTCAAGAGGCAGGGCTGGGAGACTGGAGTCTTCATTTGAGCCAGGGCTGTAACCAGGACAGCTCCGCAGAGCAGGAGGTGAGCAAGCTCAGGCGCTCACGCGAGCGATGGGGAACACCGATTTCCTTCGTTCAAAGAGGTGCTTTTTCTTTCATATTACGTATTTACCTTATAAGTGGTATA